AAAGTGGCACTGTACGGGTGTGATAGAGGAATGAAGTGGGCGTATTTAGAGAAGCGATCGACTACCACGAAGAGAACTGATTTGCCACCTACCTTGGGTAGTCCCTCAATGAAGTCCATGGAGATGTCGGCCCAGATCTGTGTCGGGATTCAAAGGGGCTGAAGGAGAACTGCTGGGTGTAGGTTTTCCCATTTGTGTTGTTGGCACGTGGAGCAATTCTGGACAAAATCTCGAATAGAAGTCTTCATACCTCGCCAATGGAAATCAGCCTGGATGCGGTGTAGCGTTTTCTGAACGCCTTCATGGGTGGAGTTATGGAAGCTAGTGATGATGGTGGGAATCAACGGGGAGTCTGGTGGAAGATGGACTCGTCCCTTATATAGTACCAACCCGTCTTGAAGTGACCAATTGGGGTCGGCAGTGCCAGACTGGATCTTTTGGACCAAGAGTGACCATTCCGAGGACTGTGGTGCTGCCTTCTTAATGTCGTCAAACAAAGAGATCTGGGGTTGGGAAATGCTGCACAGAGCCATCGCGTCTTCATCTCGCCTAGACAAGGCATCAGCTGCACGATTTGAGGATCCCGACTTATATTCCACCCGGAAGTCAAACCCGAGCAATTTGCTAACCCAATGTTGCTGAGGGGAAGTGGTGAGACGTTGCTCTAACAGGTATTTGAGGCTGTAATGATTAGTTTTGACGATGGACGACTGCCCCCACAAATATGGCCTCCAGTGCTGGACGGCTCGGGCTAGGCTGATTAGTTCGCGCTCATAGGCTGGAAGCTTCAGATGCCGATCAGCCAATCTGCGGCTGAAGAAAGCGATCGGGTGCCCTTGCTGCTGTAATACGGCCCCGATACCTACTCCGGAGGCATCGCACTCGACTGTAAATTCGAGGGCGAAATTTGGTAATTGCAAGACAGGGGTGGAAGACAGGACATTTCTCAATGTCAGAAAAGCTCCATTGGCTGCATCGTCCCACCGGAAGGAATTTTTCTTTAACAGGTTGGTTAACGGGGTTGCCAACAATCCATAGTTTTGTACAAATTTGCGGTAGTAACTCATTAATCCGAGGAACCTGCGTAAGGCCTTGGCTGATTGAGGCTTGGGCCATTCTTTTATGGCCTGAATTTTGGAACTATCAACTGTCACACCCTACCCATGGATGACGTGGCCGAGATAAAGAACCTATCGCTCCCCGAAGGAGCACTTGGACCGTTTGAGGAATAATTTGTGTTGGCATAGGAGCTCGAAAACGGTCCGCAGATGGTGGACATGCTCTACCCATGATTTGCTGTAAACGAGGTTATCATCAAAGAAAACTAAAACAAATTTGCGCAGATGGGGCTGAAATACCTCGTTCATTAATGACTGAAATGTGGATGGGGCGTTGGAGAGTCCGAATGGCATGACTAAAAATTCGAAGTGGCCATGGTGGGTGCGAAAGGCAGTTTTCTTCACGTCACCAAGAGCCATGCGAACCTGGAAATACCCGGACCTGAGGTCCAATTTAGAGAAATACTGAGCACCATGCAACTCGTCCAACAGTTCGTCCACAACGGGAATAGGGAACTTATCTTCGATCGTCCGGTCATTGAGTTCTCTATAGTCAACACAGAACCTCCACGTTCCATCCTGCTTCGCCACCAACAGAACCGGCGAAGAGAAGGGAGAGTGACTTTTGCGTATGATTCCTTGGTTCAGCATCTCTGTACATTGTTTTTCTATCTCGTCCTTCTGTAAGTGAGGGTAGCGATAAGGCCGAACAACGACTGGTGCTGAACCCGCCACCAAAGGAATACGATGGTTGCAAGCTCGGGGAGGAGGGAGTCCCTTGGGTTCCTGGAACAGATCTGAAAACTCGGCGAGAAGTTTTTCCATGACTGTCGGTTCTGTCTGAAGTGCATGGACCTGTGGTGTCTTTTCTTTAACCCTGCAACCGTGCCATGAAACTTGCCTTCCATTTAGGTGGAAGGTCATTGTGAGCGCGCTGAAGTCCCACAAAATCGGTCCTAGGGTGATTAACCACTTGACCCCAAGAACAATATCAAACCCATCCAATGAGAGTACAAACAAATCAGCAAGAAACAGTTCAGAATTGACCTGTACCGGCACGTCCTTACAAATTCCTGGACTGTGAACTCTTTCACCATTTGAGACGGCTACCTGTAGTCGCGGTCGGAGTTCCATTGGCAGTTTTAACTGAAGGGTGGCATGCTCACTTATGAAGTTGTGTGTGCTCCCTGAATCGACGAGAATGCGCACCGGTTAACCTGCTATCTGTGCTTGTAACTGCATGGTCTGAGAGGTTTTAATACCGATGATCGCATGGAGAGAGATCTCTGGCTCGAATATGACGGGTTCTTCCTCCTCCTCATGTTCATCGATGAGGAGGCAAAAAAGCCTCTTGCATCTATGTCCTGCCGAGTAGAGGTCATCACAGTTGAAACATTGGCCTCTCGCTCGGCGTTCT